ACATCATTGCACATATTTCCTTTACATAGGAGAGAATGTCAACCAAATTGTCATGCAAGATGTAGTATAGCATTATTTGTAAAATATAGTAGTTGAGGAGTTACTTGATGATTTATTGAAATCATAAAAATCACAATTATCTTTTATTTAATTCTAACTTATTAGTATGTAAGTCATAATTTTTGTGCTATATATACAGCTTCTACTCTTTGGAAACCAAACACCATTTTTATCTTCAGTCATTTTGATATACTCTATTCTAGTTTTTATTTTACTTTACTGAAATATAATTTTCAAGAAAACCTTGATAGTTCTGTAAATCATAATATACTTAATGAATGAGAGACCTAAAAAATTTAATCATAATGTACGTACATCATGTTTTAAATCAAATTTAACATCATATGAGTAGGCAAATTTTTTGGACATTGATTTTAACAATACATTTTCCAATTAATGACTCGATTTCCTACACATGCATTGGCATGCCTTGCCTCTTGTAACGCTACTGGACTCGGAACGTGACATGCGCTAATGATAGATACCAACTGAAAGTCAAATCCACCATTAAGGTTATTACAAGTACAATATATCACTTTTTATACATCATTTTTCTAATAGAATTTTGACATTAACTCCTCCGTAAATAGGACTAACCAACTTGTGATTAATTACACACAAATCCCAAACAATAACACAACACAATAGCGATAAGCCGAAATCTCAACTTTTACCAAGAAATAACATGAAATATACATGTAGATACAAAATACATAGTTAGCCCCCTAGCCATTTACAAGTGATGCAAAATCACATCTAGACATGAATATGAGTTCCAAAATATTGACTACATGCTCTATTAAGTGAGTCATACTAACAAACTCTGTCGTGTGGCTTTAACTCCAAAATCAAAGGCTCAACTCCAAAATGTGCCCAAAAACTCAACTGCTGTCTAATAAGAAAAATATGGAAAAATATATGAGTTGATAGCTCAATGAGTGGAGAAAATCGAAAATAAATATACTTTTTCCATTTTACATTTTTATCGAAAATCGAATTCATATCATTAAATAATTCACAAGATAACATCATATAATTATAGTCAAAACGTGAGACGTCCAAATAATGTCATAAAATATTATCTCAAATCACGATATAAACATAAGATGGTAATCATACTATAATATCATCATATCAAATGCACTGGAAAAATCCACCAAAAATGTACCTTCTGACTAAAATTTGTAATCCACCCATTGGGATAAGAACTTTTGCCACGGGTCTTTAGCCCCCTTCGTGAACGAAAACCGATCTTAAAACCTCTGATAATCAATTCTAGAACATGGTCAAAGACCCTCTATGAACTATACGTAAATGATAAAGACTAATGTCAGGTCAAGACCCCTTCGTGTAGGATAGAACACGGTCAAGACCCCTCCGTGAACTAGAAAAAGTATATAATCATAGGTACTTTTCTGACCAATCTCAATATTGCATGTCTCATGTGCCAAACAAATCTCAATATCACATGTTTTACATATCAAGTCACAAATATACCATAAATAATCTTTGAGATTCCACATGTATCATAATAAAAGAGATTTTCGTAATAATCATATAATCGTACATAATTGCACATGCTTTGATAATATACTTAATTTATAAATACTTTAAAAATATTTATATTTTTCCACTCACAAAACTATATACGCAAAAATCAATTCGGTTGGTAAGCTGTCCCGATATCCTTATCGTCGCCTGAAATTTGGTATAATTTTTAAATTAACAATTAACTATTTTGAGTAATCTTAGTAATTAAATAGGCGATACCCAAATTTAATCATTTCACGTTTAGGTGATTTCTAAAGTCTCCTTAATCATTAAAACTATTTTTTCATTCATTTAACTTAATTTCATAGCTTATTATACTTAACCCTTTCAATAAAATTGAATTAAACTAATGTATTACAGGCCTGCTGTCAAAAAAGCTATCAACTGACAGCGGACAATAAGCATATTAAAAAATTTAAGAAGTTCAAATTGGGTTATCAATGCTATATGGACTATTATAAAAGTTCCGTTATAACGGATCTTCTACTATCATGACAATCTATTTTAATTTTTGCCATCTCTTTTACTGCTTTTGACTACTATAATCGGAAAAATTGGCACACTTTGATAGTCCCAGACTCCAGCATAAAGAGTATAACCACTTAGAATTTGAAAATTCTAAGAATTTGGCTCCTTTTTGGAATCCATTAAGATTAGTTTTTGGAGAAAAAAATAGTTTGTAATATATATATATATATATATATATATATATATATATATATATATATTTTGGAGGATGTATGATTAAAAAATAAGAAAATGTTTTGTGTTTACATATAATATTTTTTATTGGACAATGTATGGTTAAAAATAAGAAAGAGAAAAATATATTTTAGGCCCAAACAAGGGCTCAATGGGCTCATGTCAAACAACCTTGTTGAAAAGTCATGGTACAACACTCTTGCTTGACTTTCCTAGGAGTTTATCAGCTATTGGCAAGTAAAAATTTAATGAACACCTTTCATCAATATCAAGCCAATGCCCTTGTACATAAATAAGGACTGCTAATAGCAATATATCCTCTATCATGACAATTATAGTGTGTTATGAGTATGTACGTATCCTAATGTGGTGACATCATCGTCTCCTATAAAGAGAGACACTGTGGGACCGCTTTTCAAAGAAAATCATTAATGAGATAATATAAAATATAAAAAACGGAAAACAATTATAAAGACTCTACGGAAAAACCTATATACCAACACAAATCTCTAAAATTGTAGGAAAAATAAATTTGAACTTTACCATTGCTGGATTTGAACTAAATTTTCCACCAAATTGTCTTCCCAATGTTAACTATATTTGGCATCCTTTCTTTTTACATTTTTGCTTTTTTTTAGGCAACCTCGCAACACAACAAAGGGCCTGTTTGGCATGATTTCTGAAATGTAAGAACGAGTTTTTGGGACCTAAAAGTTGCTTTTGGACCCGTTTGGAGCTTTCAGAGGAAACAAATCCAAAGTCACTTCATTTAAGACCAATTCTGGATTAGGAAGTGCTTTTAAAAGTTAGTTTTCAAACAAAAATTAAGGTAGCTTCCTTTAAGAACGCTTTTATAGGAAACAAAAATAAAAGCAAAAGTCATGCGAAACAAATTAAAAATTCATCTACCCGACTACCATTTTAGGTCATTTTTTCCATTTTTTGTGTAAATTCAACAGTACAAAATTTAATTAATTAAATCTCTATTATCACAGTGAAATTAAAATAAGGAGCACAATCCAAGTAATTGCACCTAATTAACGAACTCTTAGACTCACGTAGTGAAAGATGCAAGTTGGCATTTTTCAGGCACGTTTGAGCTATCCTGCGTCGTTATTATTTTCTAATTCTTATGGCGCGCAAGGGAACCTAATAAATGTAATGATACAAAATTAGAAACAATGAACGTAATGTACAAATTGGGAATTTTGCACAAACGTCCATAACTTTTGCCTTCAGTGTGCAAATTGTATCTAAAGTTTGTTTCATGGCAAAGTCATCCCTAATTGGCCCCTTTATAATGAAAAAGACCAATACACCAACAGTTTTAATCAGGGAAACTTGCATTTAGGTCCCCAATTTTTATTTTTAATTTAGAATATTAAATATCGTTATAATCTTGCCAATTATATTATTCAGAAGGAAGAATAATTTGTGGTGTCATGCTTTAAGTGAATATAATTACTTTAGGATGTGAAAAACTTGAATAAAACTAAGATAAATAAATAACAAAACTATGTATATAATATTTTAACATTCAAACAACCTTATTAAATTTTTATTTAGAGTAAAAAATACTTACACAAAATTAAATAATAATTATGTATTCTTTATTTTCTTTATCGAATAATAATAAAACAATAAATAAAATATGAAAAACAAAGTTCTCGTTTTGATATTTATAGTTAATAAACGAATAACTCAAGTAGATAAAAATAGTTGAGGATCAAATTTATGACAAAGGCTGCTGCTTTTATTTTTTTTCATTTTCCCCCCCTATATAATCATAAAATAAAGACAAATTGTTTACGATGTCCACATTTGAATTTCTAAACGGCCGAAATTCGAAGAAATTTGAAGGGAAAGGGAAATTTGAAGAAAAAATATAGCCAAGGTTTGAAATAAACTGACAAAATGTTAATCAATTCTAAAAAATAATATACTTCTTGAAATTTGTTAGCTATTTTGTGTTTCTTGTGCTTAGTCTTATAGCCAAGGTTTGAAGTAAACTGACAAACAACTGTAATAAATAATATACTTCCTGCAATATATCTTATGAATTGCTGCGTTTGGGTAGAAATTGGGACAGTCATATTCTCTAAAGTTAGAAATAGAAATATAGAAAAAAAAAGCAAAGAATATAAATTGAGATGACCATTTGAGAAAAGAAAGCAAAGGATATAAATTAGGGTAACCATTTTAGAAAAGAAAGCAAAGAATAAAAATGGGAATAATCATTTGAGAAAATGAAGCAAAGAATATAAATTGCAGAGTCATATTCTCCAAAGTTAGAGAGAAAAAGAGAAAAGAAGGCAAAGAATATAAATTGAGATAACCAAAAGAAAACAGAGAATAAAAAATGGGACTACTATTTACTCCAAAGTTAGAGAGGCAAAAGAGAAAAAGAAAGCAAAGAATAAATTGAGATGGCCATTTGAGAAAAGAAAGCAAAGAGGACAAATTTGGATAACCAATTTAGAAAAGAAAGCAAAGAATAGGAATTGGAATAACCATTTGAGAAAAGAAAGCAAAGAATAGAAATTGGAATAACCATTTGAGAAAAGAAAGCAAAGAATAGAAATTGGGATAAATAGTCAAACAACTACAAACTGTATTCTGTATATGTCTTTTCTTTCTCTCCGAAATCAATCAATCAATCACACACAATACAATTCCAAAGCAAGACAATGGACGCGGTAATCAGTGCCACCGTTCAAGTGACAGTGGAGAAGTTGCTTGCATCCGCCACTTCAGAGTTGAGTCTGGTGTGGAGTTTCAAGAAAGACTTGAGAAAGTTAGGCAGATCTTTGAAAATGATGGATCTTGTCTTACAAGATGCTGAGAAACGAGAAGTTACCAATGAGGCTGTCAAACTCTGGCTCAAGAACCTTCGAGATGTTACTTACGATGCTGATCATGTCTTGGATGAGATCAACTATGAAAATATGCGTCATATGGTGAAGATCCAAAACCATACTAAGATAAGGGGGTGCATAAACTTCTTTTCCTTTACTCCTCCTCTGACATTCCGATGGAGAATGGCTCGCAGGATCAAGGACATCAACGTCGACTTGAAAATGATCGAAGATGAAGCTAATACCTATGGCCTCCAGAGAGTTGCTGACTTTGCTGTGTCTTTGCCTCCGGCCACGGAAACTGACAGCAAAACTATCGATCCAATTGTCATTGGGAGACAAAATGATGAATCAAAAATTGTGCAGCAGATAACCAAAACAAATGACGCAGTTATTTCAGTCATTCCCATAGTTGGAATGGGAGGACTAGGCAAAACCACTTTAGCTCGATCGGTCTTCAATCATCCGAGCACACAGAGTCATTTTGATGAAAGGATTTGGGTATGCATCTCAAAAAATTTTGATGCGACGACAATTTTTAAAAGGATTCTGGAATGCTTGGGAGACACTTCTGTTGTAGACAACAGGGAAGCCATAGTGAAAAATCTTGGAAAGAAATTGGAAGGCAAAAAATACTTACTTGTTCTTGACGATATTTGGAATGAAAATAGACAGTTTTGGGATGATTTTAAAAATACTCTGGCTGGTGTTAACCCCAATAAAGGAAATGTCATCATGGTGACTACACGTGATCTAAAGGGGCATCAATTGTGAAAACTTACAGAGATCCATACAGCTTGGAATTATTAAAAGATGATCAATGCTGGTCAATAATCAAAGCTAGGGCCTTTGGAGATGCAGAAGTACCAGAACGATTTGAGAAAGTTGGATATGAGATTGCTTGCAAATGTGGAGGTCTACCATTAGCAGCAAACATGGTCGGCGGAACTTTGCAAGGAAAGGAAGTAGCTGAGTGGATTTCAGTTCTAGAGATCGGGCTTTCAAATCTTGAAGCAAATCAGAACATTGTGTTCCAAGTCTTAAAGTTAAGCTTTGATCGTTTATCTTCTCCATTACTTAAAAAATGTTTTGCCTATTGTTCAATATTTCCTGAGGATTCAGAAATAGAGAGAGAAGATTTAATCCAACTCTGGATGGCGGAAGGATTTCTTCCGGATAATGGAGAAAATAATATGGAGACTTTAGGCAATGAATGTTTTAACATTCTGTTGCAAAATTCCTTCCTGCAAGAGGCCGAAAAGGATAAGTATGGAAATATCACATACTGCAAGATGCATGATCTTGTGCGTGAGCTTGCACGCTCAGTTTCAAATTCAGAAAGCTTTAATGCCGAGGATCACTCTACTGATGTCATCCCTAAAGTTAGATACCTTGAAATGAAATTGCTTAAAAATGAAACACAAGCGATTACAAAAGAGAAAGCAAGTTATCTGCGCACATTTTTCTTGCGAAGGAGCAGCTTACCTGACAAAATTTTGCCATGGTTCAAGCACCTGCACATTCTAAAGTTATATGGTGCAGGTATTAAAGTTCTTCCTTCCGCAATTGGAAAGTTGATACATTTGAGATATCTTGATGCATCTGAAAATTATAAAATGGAAACTTTACCAGATTCGATTTGCAAGCTCTACAATTTACAAACATTAAGGATTTTGAAATGCCGGAACCTTCATCTGCTTCCAGAAAGGCTATCTGACTTGAGTAATTTGAGACATCTCTACTTTTATTCTATTAATAGAGATCTCCAGATGCCGCCTGAAATCAGAAAGTTGTCTGATCTTCAAACATTAATGTATTTTAGAGTTGGTGGCAAGGAAGGCAGACAAATCAAAGAGCTAGGATCTTTGAAGAATCTGTAGGAACCCTAGAACCATTTCAAAGCATCAAAAATCGCAAGACTAAAGATCAAGATTTGTAGATCTGAAAACAGTAAAGAGAAACACAAGCGATTTTTGGTCGAAGCCCTGAGTTTCAGTGATTTGTTAAAATCGCCTAATCCCCGTTGAGCATCCACGAAGGAATAAGATCGAATCCACTAGAACAAAACACACCAGCCAAAAATTACAGCAGTTTTCGAATCACAGAAGGAACACACAGTTCCAGTCACCACGACAATAATCTCCTCTACAATACAAAAGAACTCACACAAGAGTTCGTAGCACCACATCTACTCTCAACCAACTAAATGAATCAACCAGATTCAAGACCAGAGAGCCAACAAATACAGAGAGAGATTTTTCAACTCAAAATGAAAAGAAAACGAAAGCTGCATAAAATGAGAGCCAACCCTAACCTTAGAATTGTTGATCCCTTTTATATGAAATAATCAATTCATTTGATCCAATGGTCCAGTGACTGCCAGGTGTCACAATCATGTGAGAGTCGATTTTCTCAAACAGAAAGCGCGTTTTTCATTTGTGTAATTAAGCTTCCAGATAATTCTACCAGTTGGGCCATTTAACCGGGTCATGGGCTGTTGGATTGGGCTTCACAAATGGCAGCAACCCAATTTCTACA